CAAGAGCATTTATCATATAATAATCCGTTATCGTAAATGCAGCTTTGTGATCAAAACAGCTGCATTTACAATTTAAAGAATCAAAAAATCCGTTTTTTCGAATATGATGATTAATGGGGGTGTTAATGCTACGAGCTGATCGGACGCTCGTGTGGCCCCCAGATGTTCTGAGAAGCAGCACCGGTTCTTTGTGACGACGCCAGGCTTGTTTGTGATATTCCGGCTTGTCTGGGCCTTATTTGTTACCCCCGCGGGTCCGCATTTATGGTCAGGGAGGGTGTGGCCTTCGTCTTGTTATATAAGCGAGCCTTATCTCAGAATAAACACAGTTTAACACCTGCATCAGTTCAACACCGGACCAATGACACGACACGATCTTCCCCCTCGGCTACTCATACAACACGGACTCTGGCCCCTTATTATAGTCACTTCTTATCTACTTGCGTCACGTTACTTCAAGACCTGCTGGACGAGGAACATCCCCTCAAAATTCCAGCCTTCTGGCTTTTCAGTTTCCCGAATTAGCAGCTGGCCCACAAAAAATTTTCACGGACTCGTAAATAAGAAAGGAACCACGTGGGTAACAGTGCCTATTTTGGGCATAGGGCCCGTACGTGCATGAAGATTAATTTCCCAAAGTTTCAGCCCCGTACCTCTTACAGGTCTCGAGATGAAAAGCCGGTGCAGACGCACGCATAGATACACACACATACAAACACACAAAAACCCCTCGACAATATGGTTTTTGCATTGCATAGATGCAAAAAACGCATAAAAACTACTTCAGGAAATTATGGTAGCATATAGCGGCTTCGAGCGCTGTGTCTGCTTCATAAGGTGGCTCTCAGTATCTCTACAACAAGGCTATGCTTTCAAACAGCTCTTTACGATTAATTTCTAGTGCAACTGCTCAAAAGGACGGGCCCAAGGAGGGAAGCGTAATCGCTGAGGGTTAATAGTGAGTCATAGTTCACGGAGCTCGAATGGAAAACAGGCAAAAATGCTCCTACTACGACAAAAACGCCCCGTGATGCATCCATCATTCATTGCTTGGAAGATGAGGACGGATTGAGAAAACGAACACGAGAATAAACGTTGACGATTGCCAACTTTGGTCCGAATAAACATGGAATATTATCAGCTTCATCGATGGTGCGAACGTAAGATATAGTTAAGTAAATGCGTCCTGTACTGGTACAGCAGCGTTTCGCAGAATAGCAACGAGTGGGCAATTGATGAGCGCCTGGTGACGAGTTGGAGGAGATTATCGGACTTTTAGGGGCATCCGCTGGGCTGATACTTCGAAAACTTGACGGCAAGGCGACGTCCACGAACGTGGGACCTCGGTACGAATCGATTCGCACGTGTGAATTAGCAGACGAACTGCCGCTCTTGCGCGTTGACATAAAACAACAATCTTATTCACCTCGTTTGGCTTACTAAATCGATGTAGTCAACAGTACAGTAAAATAACTGGCGAACGCACGGGATGCTCGTGCGAAGATGTGTTTTTTGCATAGTTCCCTGCAGATGCTTCTAGCTAAAAGAATTTCAGATTGGCCGCCAAAACTTTCAGGAAACATCACCTCAAAATTCCAGTCTTCTAGCTTCTCACTTTCCCGAGTTAGCAACTTACCCGAAAAAAATTTTCACAGGCCCATACGTGGGAATGACTCACACCTGAGGGCTAGTTTTGAGCTCATTAATACTCACGTGGATAGAGAACGTTCCCTTAAAATTAGAGTCTTCTAGTTTCTCAGGTTCTCGAGTTAGCAACTTACTCAGAAGAAATTTGGCTGGCTTATATGTGGACACGACGCATACCCGAGAGTTGGGTTTGAACTCTTCAATACCTACTCCGATGGGGAACACCCCCTTAAGATTCCAGTCTTCTAGCTTTTCAGGTTCTAGAGTTAACAGCTTTCCCGAAAAAAACTTTGCCTGCCCCGTGCGTGGTACCACGCATACCCAGCGTTTGGGTTTGAGCTCATTGAGATTTGCATAAACAGAGAATATTCCCTTAAAATTACAGCCTTCTAACTTTTCAGTCCCCCGAGTTGAGGGCTCATCCGTAAAAAATTTTCACGGACTCGTACGTGGGTACCACGCATACCCCAGGGTTCAGACTCATTAATACCTGCTCGGGTGTGGATATTCCCTTAAAATTTCAATCTTTTAGCTTTTCAGGTTCTCGAGTTAGCAACTTATGCGAAAAAGCTTTAGCGGGACCGAAAGTGGGTACCACGCGTACCCGGAGAGAGACTGGTTTAAAGCTCATTAAGAGTTACGCCGACCCCTTAAAATTTCAGCTTCCCATCTTTTCTGATTCCCGAGTTAGCGACTTACCCGCAAAAAATTTTCACAGGCCCGTACGTGGACACCACGTGGGTAAGTTCGCCTATTTTGGGATGGGGGCCCGTACGTCCATGTAGACTAAGTTCCCAAAGTTTCAGCCTTGTAGCTTTTGTAGGCCTCAAGAGAAAAATCGGTACAGAGGCCCAGCGCACACGCAAACACACACAGACAACTTCTCGTCAATATACGTTTTCTGCATTGCATAGCTGCAAAGCGCATAACAACGAAACAGTACAATAATATAACAACAGTCCTAGGACAGCAGTATACATCTCCCTCAAAATCTACATGTGTCTACACAACAGCCTACTGCAGTTCGATAACGTCCTTATAGCAAAGGTTCTTAAGCAGTTATCCGTATTAAAATCTATGAGACATATTTCAGTGACAATAAGGACAGGTATCCTATGCTACATCTTCTTACATCCATGTGCCTGTCTTAACTAAGTGTAGCCTAACCTTCTAAGATTCTCTTTATGAGCTTGGTTCTTGGGAGAAGAGGGTGTAAGGAAAAAGAGGAAAAAAAGTAAAAAGCAGAGGTGGAGGGGTTGTAAGGACTGAGGGCAGTGGATAACAAAACTCGCCCTCGCTGCTCAGTCCGAATGGAATGGAATCCTTCCTGAAATTACTAATTTGCA